ATTTAATGGTCTTTGTATATTAGGGAACCTGATACTAAAAAAATGCAAACGGAGAAGCTCTGAACAAACTCACATGTTCTCGCATTGCTGTTTCCACAGTGGGGGACATCATGATGACACAGGTCACCGTGACCAACATGAAGAAGAGGGTGTACATGAAGCGTGTCGAGGTGGACTGTTTGATCTTGGGACAGCAGCCGCAGCACAGGGAGCAGGCAGCCGATCCACAGCAGCAGGCCAGCTGCAGAAAAACAGCACATGAGTGAGCGGGACACATGCAAGTGCTTGACGATAACAGTTCACAAACCATTACAATGATTTACAATTAAACAAATGGATTTTAAAGCACATCTGCACATATAAAAGAATAAAATATGCCAATTAAAGTGTTACTGTAAACCAAGGCAAAGACAACACAATCTTTTTAAGATTAAGTAATATATACTTTTCAGCTGAAATAAACCAATACAAGTCTATAATGTACTGTGAAACTGAACAAATGCATTGAGGGGACTTTGAACGTCTTATTGGTCATCATCCCCTTTAGCAACACAAATGCCTAATTCCTATTGGCTGTAAGCAATAGTAGAGCAGGGCTGTTACTATGAGGCAACTTGATTCACATGACGCAAGACACAGACATAACATGAGGCTCCGAGATCAGATTGAGTAGATACAGTATCAGTACAAATGTTTCTAGACGTTTTAGAAAATCCCATAATCTTTTCTACTATTGTTTGTAGACATTATGCAGCCAGAGAAGAAAAGAAAAAGGAATGGTTAATTATCATCCTTTTAATGTTTAAAGGATGTTGTAAATACATGAGTTACGTTAGTTTTGTAAGTTTAAAATGTTCTTAAAATATAGATTTAGATGATTAAAGGGGTCATATGATGCTGCTAAAAAGAACATTATTTGGTGTATTTGGTGTAATGAAATGTGTTTATGCAGTTTAAGGTTCAAAAAACACATTATTTTCCACATACTGTACATTATTGTTTCTCCTCTATGCCCCGCCTTTCTGAAACGC